GAACCCTAAACCCTAAACCCTAAACCCTAAACCCTAAACCCTAAACCCTGAACCCTGAAGCCTGAACCCTAACCCTAAACCCTAAGCCCCAAAGGTGTATGGGCTCTCCGGACTCTAAACCCAAAACCCACAGAAAACCCCGAGACCCTCTTCGGGTTTAGGGCGTAGGCCTTGGGGTTTAGACCTAAACCCTAAACCCTAAACCCTAAACCCTAAACCCTAAACCCTAAACCCTAAACCCTAAACCCTAAACCCTAAACCCTAAACCCTAAACCCTGAACCCTGAACCCTGAACCCTGAACCCTAAACCCTAAACCCTAAACCCAAGCACTTGAAGCCGTTCAAGAGATACCTGGGCCCACGGACTCTGTGGGTTCTCCGACGCGGCAGCCCTTGTGGGACCGGCGCCTCTCACTTCAGGCACCAAACTCCAAGAGGTTCTCTTGAACTTGCTCGGGTTTAGGGTTTAGGGTTTAGGGTTTAGGGCTTAGGGCTTAGGGTTTAGGGTTTAGGGTTTAGGGTTTAGGGTTTAGGGTTTGGGGTTAGGGTTTAGGGGTCAGGGTTTACGCTTCAAATATTACCCATTCTGCTTCGTTTCGGGTTTAGGGTTGAAGGCTGAAGTGCCAGCCAAGAAAAGGGTTCAGGGTTGAGGGTTTCGGGTTTAGGGTTTAGGGTTAGGGTTTAGCGTTTAGGGTTTAGGGTTGAGGGTTTAGAGTTTAGGGTTTAGGGTTTAGGGTTTAGGGTTTAGGGTTTAGGGTTGCATTATGTTGCATTAGGCGGGTAAGATACTTGAAGGTTCCTGGGTACTTATAAGTAGGATTCTCAGTCACAACCCTACTTTTCAGTACCCATTGTACCTCCAACCATAAACCCTAAACCCTAAACCCTGAACCCTAAACCCTAAACCCTAAACCCTAAACCCTAAACCCTAAACTCTAACCCTGGACCCTAGAACCCCTCATGAGCCTGAGGCCTGAGGCGCCTCCAAGTTCGGGGTTTAGGGTTTTGGGGTTAGGGTTTAGGGTTTAGGGTTTAGGGTTTAGGGTTTAGGGTTTAGGGTTTAGGGTTTAGGGTTTAGGGTTTAGGGTTTAGGGTTTAGGGTTTAGGGTTTAGGGTTTAGGGTTTAGGGTTTGGGGTTTGGGGTTTAGGGTTTAGGGTTTAGGGTTTAGTGGTTCAGGGCTTAGGGTTTAGAACTCCAAAACATAGCGCCCAAAGCCCTGTGATCAACAAAACCTTAAGCCCCCAAGCCCCAAGAGTAACCTAGGAATAGACAAGGGGGCGCCCTTTTTGGGTTTAAAGGGGCTTATGAGGGAACCGAAGCCCGCAAACACAGGGGATAAGGGCCTACCCTGGGTAGTACCCCTAAACCCTAAACCCTGGACCCTCAAAAAAAGGAACACCAATAATTGCTTAAGAACCCCCAAAAATTGTTCTTTACAACATATTCTCTCTTATAAGGGCATTATAAGGAGTATATATTTTTTTTATCTTTTGGGGTTCTTAAGGAAATAGTAGATTAGGGCCGACTCCCAAACTCCCCAAAACAAACATACCCCCTCACACCCCCAAACTTGGGATGCTCCCCCTTATAGTATAAGAGTCCTTAAACGGAATTTTAAGAAGGGGTACTAGAATCCCTATCAGGGTTTAGGGTTTAGGGTTTAGGGTTTAGGGTTTAGGGTTTGTTAGTATAAGGGGGAAAAGCCCCAAACCCTAAACGGTACTCCCACCCTGGGCTGTTCGGAGAAACTTTGGTTGACTTGACCATCTCTCCACATGTCGTGTGCCGGTCGCATCGTTGTGTGATGCCAGAACTCACCGATAAGAGAACCATTCGCAAGAAAAAAAGACTGCGTCTGGATCTTCCCTTGGGCTTTGACAACCAAAGCTAAAGCATGCCCTAAACCCTAAACCCTAAAGCCCCCAAAAAGGCAACACCCGACACCCGAAACCCTGAACCCTGGGCCTGCATCTGCGGCAAAGCGCGAGGGCAGGAGCCAGGCGAGCCTCGAAACCCCTGAAGATACACAAGCTCTAGGGATGAGGGTTTAGGGTCTGGGCTCTTTAGGGCTTAGGGTTTAGGGTTTAGGGTTTTTTTTGGTCTGGGGTTTGGGGTTTAGGGTTTGGGGTGTTTAGGGTTTAGGGTTTAGGGCTTCAGAGAGGTGGAGACCGTGCCTTCCTCGTACTTTTGATTCCAGGTCGTGCTGGCCTGAGCATGGTAACGATGCCGTGGCTGGTGGTGTCCAGGAAGAATACAAAGCTCCGATAGGCTTCGAGGATCGTGAGTTGCTGCTCGTGTCGGAGTGCCGTTTTGACCAGTGTCTTCAGGACACCGCGCACGGTTTCCTCATCTCCATCATTAGCTCGTCTTCTGCGTCCTGGTCCCGATCTGTTTTGGCCTTGGGATTGGGCCTGCTTCAGCCCTTGCCCAGGCCTTTGCGAAACTTGGTCGGTGGTACCTGTGTCAGGCGGTGTCTTGCAGATACCAGAAAGGGAATTTGACACCCACGAACCTCCAGAGCATCTTCGAGGGCCAAGCGACGGCGCTTGGCTTAGCAGTTTAGGGGCTTTTGGGTTTGGGGTTTAGGGTGTAGGGTTTAGGGCTAGGGCGGTTTAGGGTTTAGGGTTCAGGGTTCAGGGTTCAGGGTTTAGGGTTTAGTTTCACGGTGTTGGGGAGCTTGAGGTTCTCAGAGCCCCAAGCCCTAAACCGCAAACCCGAAAGAATTAAAGTCCCAAGACCCTTACACACTTAAACCCTTAAACGCCTAAACACTAACCCTGCACCCCGAACTCTTAAGCCCCTAAACCTAAACCCTAAACCCTAAACTAAAACCCTAAACACCCTAAACCCTAAACTCGAAACCCTAAACCCTAGACCCTAAACACCCTAAACCTAAACCGCGAGTCTGGGACCATGGGCTTCCAGTGGCTCTGGAGGGCCTTGGGGGCGCCCATCACTCCCCGGGTACCCCAACCCTTCAAGCCCTTGAAGCCCTTTAAAGCCCTTCAAGCCCTTGAAACCCTGAAAAACCCGTAGAGCCCTTAAAGCCCTTTGAAGCCCTTTAAAGCCCTTTAAAGCCCTTTTAAAGCCCTTAAAGCCCTTAAAGCCCTTGAAGCCCTTAAAGCCCTTGAAGCCCTGAAAGCCCTTAAAGCCCTTAAAGCCCTCAGGGTTCAGGGTTGAGGGTTGAGGGTTCCGGGGTTTAGGGCTTACATGGCTTTGGGTTCAGGGCTTCAGGGCATCAAATAAGCCAACTGCTCTAGAAGCCCTGAACCCTGAGCCTAAGTCCTGCCGGAGCGCAACAGGCATGGGTGCTTCGCCTACACGCGAAACCCTGAGCCCTAACCTTAACCCGCAACTGGGAGCACGCGCCACGATTTCTCCGAGGCAACTGGCAGTTGGCGGAGACTTTGGTTTTAGGGCTCAGGCCTTGGGGGTTTATGGTTTCGGGTTTGGGGTGTAGGGTTTAGGGTTTAGGGTTTAGGGTTTAGGGTTTAGGGTTTAGGGTTTAGGGTTTAGGGTTTAGGGTTTAGGGTTTAGGGTTTAGGGTTTAGGGTTTAGGGGTTAGGGTTTAGGGTTTAGGGTTTAGGGTTTAGGGTTTAGGGGGTAGGGTTTAGGGTTTAGGGTTTAGGGTTTAGGGTTTAGGGTTTAGGGTTTAGGGTTTAGGGTTTAGGGTTTAGGGTTTAGGGTTTAGGGTTTAGGGTTTAGGGTTTAGGGTTTAGGGTTTAGTGTTTATGGTTTATGGTTTAGGGTTTAGGGTTTAGGGTTTAGGGTTTAGGGTTTAGGGTTTAGGGTTTAGGGTTTAGGGTTTAGGGTTTAGGGTTTAGGGTTTAGGGTTTAGGGAACCCTGCCAGAAATCCAGACTGCTCGGGGGGGACACAGGGTGCCCTAAGCATGGGGCCTACCGGCCCAATCCGACCCGAAGCCCTCGGAGCGGAAATTTTGGGGAGCTCACGGCAATCACGGACAGCTTTCTTGGGGTACCCCAAACCGTTTAAACCCTAAACCCGAAACCCTAAGCCCGAAACCCGAACCCGAAACCCTAAACTGGAAACCCGAAACCCTAAACCCTAAACCCTAGAACCCTCAGCCCGTCTAACGTCGCCAAGCCACCGGAAGTCACCACAAAGGGCCTCAGCAAACTGCAGGGGCCCCAAGAGGCCCGCACGCCCCATCCTGCCTTAACATCATGAGAGACCCGGTTTAGGGCTTAGGGCTTGGGGCTTGGGGCTTAGGGTTTAGTGTTTAGGGTTTAGGGTTTAGGGCTTAGGGCTTAGGGTTTAGGGTTTAGGGTTTAGGGTTTAGGGTTTAGGGTTTAGGGCTTAGGGTTTAGGGTTTAGGGTTTAGGGTTTAGGGTTTAGGGTTTAGGGTTTAGGGAGAGTAGGGCTTAGGGTTTAGGGTTTAGGGAGAGTAGGGTTTAGGGTTGAGGGGCCCCCAACCCCTAAACCCTCATCCCCAAGGAGTGTCTGAAGTGAGGCAAACATCAGGCACCCGAACATCCAAGAAGCGCAAGCTCTCGACTCCCAGGATCCTTGGGGAAGTCTAACTTGGGTTGCAAGGAGGGTTTAGGGGTTTGGGGTTTAGGGTTTAGGGTTTAGGGTTTAGGGGTTTAAGATTGAGGGTAGAGTTTGGGGTTTAGGGGTCTTGGGTCTTGGGTTTTGGGTTGGGAGTAGGGCAACATAACGAAATCGGGCTGAAATTTGTTCTGAGGGGGGGGGGGTATCCATCACCACTACCTTTGATTGAACCCAAACCCGTGCTCATAAGCCCGTCCCCAAGCTAAACCCTAAACCCTAAACGCAAGGCCCCATTTGTCTTGTTCAACCGATGCCGCATGCTTTGGCAGCTTCGAAAAGAAGCGCTTCGGCTTCTGAATCGACATGTTCCGGGCCCGGACTGGTTTTTCGACCTGATGATAGCTATCACCCTAAACCCTAAACCCTAAACCCCAAACCCTAAACCCTAAAGCCCCAAACCCTAAACCCTAAACCCTAACCCTATTCTAGCCGCTCCGGGCATCGGCGTTGCTGCGCAGCTGCCGGTGGGCCTCCCTCAGGACCGCGTTCGCCTGGCACCGGAAAACCCTAGGGTTGAGGGTTGAGGGTTGAGAGTAGCGACCCGAAGCTGTATACGTCCTGCAGTCTCCTGTTCTGGATCCCTGTTGCGATACCGGCCGTTTTTATTGGTCTACGCAAAGAGGGGCGGGCCGCGTGACATGGCTTAGAAAACTGGCCACGTCGGTGTTTCAAAATCTTTGAGGTCATGTTCTCAAAGTGTCTTAAACCCTAAACCCTAAACCCTAAATCCTAAACCCTAAACCCTAAATCTTAAGCCCTAAACCCTAAACCCTCGACCCTCCAACCCTCAAGCCTGAGACCCTTGAGCCCTGAGCAGTGCACCCTTCCTAGGGTTTAGGGTTTAGGGTTTCAAGGTTTGGGGTTTAGGGATGCTTGGGGCTTCGGCGTTAGGGTTTTCGGGCTGCGAGTCTTGGGTTTGGGGTTAACCCTAAACCCTAAACCCTAAACCCTAAACCCTAAACCCTAAACCCTAAACCCTAAACCCTAAACCCTAAACCGTTTTTGGCTTTGCGGATTGAAGCTCGCAGCCACTCGCCTCGGCGGCTCTGAGCCCAAGGCGCCTCGGCGGTTCAGGGTTTAGGGTTTAGGGTTTAGGGTTTAGGGTTTAGGGTTTAGGGTTTAGGGTTTAGGGTTTAGGGTTCAGGGTTTAGGGTGCAGGGTCTAGGTTTGAGGGCTCGGGGTATGGGGTTTAGGGTTTAGGGTTTGGGGCTTGGGGTTTGGGGCTTGGTTTAGGGTTTGGGGCTTGGGTTTGGGGCTTAGGGTTTAGGGTCCAGGGTTTGGGGTTCGAGGGCTGATCTAAGCGCGTTCAAATAATTCCAGAAAACCAAGTATTTGGATTACAAAAATATGAAGCATAAGATATAGCTCTTCCAAGATGAAGAAATATTAAAAGAAAGACAAATGATACACCATTAGAATGAAGATAACGTAAACACCATCCATAATATATTTCTCTAATTAAAAAGAAAAGAGAAAAATATGCTGAATTAATATCTGATGTATAATGTAAACCTAAGAAGATTCCTGTAATAATTTGTAATAAAATAGTAATTCCTAATAAAAAACCAATATTCCAAAAATGATTTATGATCAAAGGACAAGGATATGATTGTAAATGAGATTTCATTAGTAATACAAAATATGCTGCATTCACTTTGTTCCTGTACTTCGTTCATGCCTCATTCATTATTCTCATGCCTCGCGGGCTCGTTATAATATAATAAATAATGCGCTCTCTACGTAGTTTTAATATTATTAAGAGGCATGCGTTGGGTTTTGGGCTTAGGGTTTAGAAAGGATGTGCGGGGGCTTTGCGTCAGCCTCTCTATCGGGCGTGGGTTTAGCGGCTCCGCTCATCGCAGGACCAAGTACATCATGTTCCAGGTGATGGTTCAAACTCATTTATTTTGACGTCATGCGCTTGGTTAAGTTTCTGGTCCCTGTAATTCGCCCTGTCCAAGGGCTGTGACCTAACCGAACGACCTCGTGGAATTGCACCTTAAGCCCTAAACCCTAAACCCTGAACCCTAAACCCTAAACCCTAAACTCTAAACCCTAAGCCCTAAACCCTAAACCCTAAACCCTAAACCCTAAACCCTAAACCCTAAACCCTAAACCCTAAACCCTAAACCCTAAACCCTAAGCAGCCCGATTTCTGAAATATGCAAGGTTCAGAGTGCAGCTTGGTCAGCACAAGACATGGAGGGTCCACTTGGCAACGGGTCTTACATCATAACCCATCGTAACTATGGCCCTTCACCCCAAACCCGAAACCCCTGAACCCTAAACCCCAAACCCGAAACCCCTGAACCCTAACCCCTAAACCCTAAACCCTAAACCCTAAACCCTCAACCCTAGCCTTTCATTTCGAGTATTAAACCTGTACGCCCTTGGGTCAACCGTGCCCAGAAGCTCAAGCAGCGGGCGAATGCTCTGCACGAACCTGACGAGACACCCCACAATCCGCTTCGCCCCGGTTGCGAGCCAAACGATGTAAGGGTTCAGGGCCCAAGGTTCAAGAAGCACTGAAGAAGGGCCAGAGAATGAACAACATAGTTTGAAAATAGTCCCTGAGGCTTCTGCAACACTACTCATGACCAGACTTTCGTTCAGGGCGGGCTTGAGGCTCTATCGGGTGGCTTCGGGGCTTGAGGTGTTTAGGGTGTCTAGGTTGCTTAGAGTTCAAACACTTCCTCTTTGCGGACTCTCTGACTTCCCAGACTATCCAGCAAGCCCAGGAAAAGTAAGGACCAGTTCCCTCAAGCCCTACACACCCCAAGGCCCCTCTTCCTACAGCCCGTAACCCCTAAACAAGGAACCCTAAAGCCTTCTTCCCTGCACCCTAAACTGGCGTTCTCATTAAGACCACCCCGCGTTCGCGGATATGCCTTCCGCAGACAGATGGGGCCTAAACCCTTGGCCCTTCATCCAAAAGCGCGCGCGCCAGGCCCGGGGCTCGCTCAATCTTTAGAAAGCTTCATATGCCTGACGCACGCACGCACACCCAGATGATGCATCAGATGCATGTGGATTACTTACTCCTGTAAATATGGTACCTGAATGGTATTTCTTATGCCAACATGCTATGATAGAAGCTGTACCAAATAATAATGCAGGATTCAGTATCTTATTTACTTCTATCTTCATCCATTTTTGCCCTATGAGAAGTCTTTCAATGTCATTCTAGTTTAATTCGACGTTCAGTAGATTTGATGGTTTTTCTCTGTGCCTTTGGTTTCTTTCACTTTTTCTTTTGTTTTTGGATAGGTGGTCAATTTCCTGTAGACAACTTTCTATCTTATGGTCGCATCTTGACATTACATTATTATCTTCTTATTCCCTAAACCCTAAACCCTAAACCCTAAACCCAAAACCCTAAACCCTGAACCCTGAACCCTGAACCCTAAACCCTAAATCCTAAACCCTAAACCCTAAACCCTAAACCCTAAACCCTAAACCCTACTCTGAAGTCCCCTGAACCCCAACGCGAAGCCGTCCAAGGAACGGCGGGTCCGCTTCGCCCATCAGCCGGAGCCCTAAGATGAAAGGGGGGCTTCAGGGCTGTGGAGTTTAGGGTTTAGGGTTTAGGGTTTAGGGTTTAGGGTTTAGGGTTTAGGGTTTAGGGTTCAGGGTTTAGGGTTTAGGGTTTAGGGTTTAGGGTTTCGGGTTTAGGGTTTAGGGTTTAGGATTTAGGGTTTAGGGTTTAGGTTTACCGACAATCAGCGCACGCCGCCGCGAGCTGATAGCCACACTTCCCGATGCGAACCGGGTCTACTTACTACCTTCCCTGAGCCTTCAACTCTTCAACCCTAAACCCAAAGCCCTCAACCCTAAACCCAATAAAGGCAACGCCTTCTTTGCATGGCCAGGAACGCCCGAGGTAGACACGCCATCGCTCCTCGATCTGGTCCTCAACTTCTTTTCCCGCCCGAAGAACCCTGCAGGGGCCTCAAGGGGCCTAAGGGTCCAGGGTTTGGGGCTTGGGGTTTGTAGGGTTTACGGCTTTGTAGGGTTTAGGGTTTAGGGTTTAGGGTTTAGGGTTCAGGGTTTAGGGTTTAGGGTTTAGGGTTTAGGGTTTGGGGTTTGGGGTTTGGGGTTTAGGGTTTAGGGTTTAGGGCTCAGGGCTTAGGGTTTAGGGCTCAGGGCTTGCGGTTTAGGGTTAGGGTTTAGGGTTCAAAGGTGTGTGAGTTCGAGTTTAGGGGCCTAATGTGAGAGTCCCATTTATAAATGGGGTGGTAATAGCAAAATTCGCCGGGCCAGAGGGGTCCAGCCGAAGACTACTTTCCATGGGAGGTTTTCGGGCCGATGTCTGTAAACAAGTCTATATAGGGGGGTGCGGTGATAATAATAAAGGGTGGTAATACCAAAATTTTTCCGGCCTGGAATTGAAAATTTTACTGAGAATCGCTTAAGAGTTCCATTGCAGAGAAGACTTTTCAGACCCCCAGACCCGCAGACCCCCAGAATTGATTATTGGCACCCCGTCTTTTTTCCACCCCTCCAAACCCCGGGGACCAAAACAAGATTTGGGGGGGGGGGGGGGGGTTATTAAAGGGACCCTAACATTAAGGGCTTGGGGGGGGGGGGGTTGAAGAGTGCAAAGGGGGCTCGCCTCTGCGCCTCGGTGCGGGAAGCCCCCATCGCCGAACTACCCCTACCAAAAGCAAGCTCGACCCCCCTAAACCCTAAACCCCAAACCCCAAACCCTAAACCCTAAACCCCTAAACCCTAAACCCCTAAAGCCTAAACCCCTAACCCCTAAACCCTAAACCCTAAACCCTAAATCCTAAACGCTCAACCCCCCTAAACCGCTTCAGGGTACCGGTTAGAAGGTGAGAGGGGCAGGGAACCTTACTGGCTCTGAATAGGGCGGGAATGAGGTGCCCTATGTCCCTTATGGGTTTAGGGTTTAGGGTTTAGGGTTTAGGGTTTAGGGTTTAGGGTTTAGGGTTTTAGGGGGGATATCACGTGCCTCATTCCCTCATTCCCTACTAAGAACTAGTAGGTGAAGAGGCCCAACTGCTGCCAAGGCTCTATCTGATCGATGAAGATCTTCTTCCCTGCCGCATCGAAGCTTCCGTAGTCTTGGCCCATGGCAATCCTTCAACTGCACGGAATTCAGAGGTTTAGGGCTCAGGGTCAGTTAGTCTTCTGCGCATGCGTGATTAGGCATAAGTATGCATGCTGCCTGTACCAGCAGCCGAGGAGAATGATTGCTAAGCAGAGGTTTAGGGTTCAGGGTTTAGGGTTTAGGCTTTAGGATTTAGGGTTTAGGGTTTAGGGTTTAGGGTTTAGGGTTTAGGTTTTAGGGGATTAGGCCGCCATCAAGTAAAGAGGGCACCCATGGGGAGAGCTTCAGACAAGTGCGTTATGGGCGCTTGGAGGTCCATAGGTACTTACAAGATGTAAGTACTCTAGGGGCCTTAGTAAGTAGAATAGGGTTTCGGGGGTTCTTAGAGTACAATTATAAAGGGGCCATAAGGGGATACTAGTAGCCATTACTCCTACCCCTATAGTACTGCACATACTTCTAGGGCCGATGGATGGCTTTCAGGAGATTTTGGCGAGTTTCGGGGGTTTGGGTTTAGGGGCTTTAGGATTGGGGATTGGGGATGAGGGCTTAGGGCTTAGGGTTTAGGGTTTAGGGTTTAGGGTTTAGGGTTTAGGGTTTAGGGTTTAGGGTTTAGGGCCATGGGGTGGAAGATGGGTGACAGCTTCGACGTGGACCTCCGAGCTGGGTTTCTGTGTGGTCTTTAATGGGGGTTTGGGGTTTAGGTTTAGGGTTTAGGGTTTAGGGTTTAGGGCTTAGGGTTTAGGGTTTAGGGTTTAGGGTTTAGGGATTAGGGTTTAGGGTTTAGGTTGTAGGGCTCTTAGAACTTAGATTAGAGCCCTGAACCCCCTCTTCAAACCCCATAGCCCTGAACGCCAGACCCTAAACAGTAACAGTAACAAGGATTTTCCCCTAAGAGCCTAATGAGAAACCCTAAAACCTAAACCCTAGTGAAAACCGAACAAACATATTTCGTGTGGAAGGGACAGGGCCGCATGATCCCGCTGCAGCGCCGCCAGCTCCTCTTAGGGCTTGGGGCTTAGGGTTTAGGGTTCAGGGTTTGGGGTTTAGGGTTTAGGATTCAGGGTTCAGGGTTTTAGGGTTTAGGGTTTAGGGTTTGGGGTTTGGGGTTCAGGGTTTAGGGTTTAGGATTCAGGGTTCAGCGTTCAGGGTTTTAGGGTTTAGGGTTTAGGAATTGGGGTTTGGGGTTTAGGGTTTAGGGTTTAGGGTTTTGGGTTTTGGGTTTTGGGTTTTGGGTTTAGGGTTTAGGATTTAGGGTTTAGGGCTTAGGGTTTAGGGTTTAGGGTTTAGGGTTCAAGGTTTAGGGTTTAGGCGGGCGGTGTCGGGTTTACGGACTTAAGGGTACAGGGACTTTGGGTTCAAGATGTACTTTCAGGGTGTCGGGACGTTAGGGTTTAGGAGCTTGGGGTCTTCGGGTTTAAGGTGCTAAGTGAATTGAGGTATTCAGGTATTAAGGCATTAAGGTATTAAGGTATTAAGTTATTAAGGTCTTAAGGCATTAAGGTATTGAGGTATTAAGGTATTAAGGTATTAAGGTATGAAGGTATTAAGGTATTAAGGCATTAAGGTATTCAGGTATTAAGGTACTCAGGTATTAAAGTATGAAGGTATTCATTAAGGTATTACGGTATCAAGGCATTCAGGTATTAAGGTATTGAGGTTCTTTGAGGTTTTTGATTTACGGAATTAGGGTTTAGGGTGTAGTGGTTAAAGTTTAGGCTTAAGGTTTAGGGGTCAGGCTTAGGGCTTCGACACTCGTAATGACAACAACTATCATCACCATCAGCCCTCTTCAAGACCACGGAAATTTAGGGTTTAGGGTTTAGGGTGGGTTTAGGGTTTAGGGTTTAGGGTTTAGGGTTTAGGGTTTAGGGTTTAGGGTTTAGGGTTTAGGGTTTAGGGTTTAGGGTTTAGGGTTTAGGGTTTAGTCGCAGCAACACTACAAAAAGTCATACCACCTGTGACAACAAAAGCGGCACAAGCGAATAACAAGGTTGACTAAGAGCATGTACGACTGATGATGGTGCTGATGAAGATGGTGATAAGAACACGGTAAAACTAGGAATGAGAAGGGAACCGGACAAGAAGAAGCTTCAGCCAGAAGCAAGAGCAAGCAGTAGTCATACTGGAAGCAGTGCAACTAACAACAGCCGAACAGCCCGTAAACCTAGGAAAATCATCGAACAAAGGGTGCTCTTCAATTTCACTATCCTAGACCCTGAACATTACACCCTGGAATCCTAGAACCCTAAGCCCTCAACCCTAAACCCTCAACCCAAAACCCTCAACCCAAAACCCTGAACCCTAAACTCCAAAACCCTAAACCCTCAACCCTGCCGCAGCGGAAAGCCGGCTCCTCGTCTGCCACGGACTCCTCCAAGGCCTGTCGCCAAGGCCACGTGTGGTTACAGGATCTGAGGGTTCGGGTTTATGGGGTTTAGGGTTTTGGGTTTTGGGTTTTGGGTTTTAGGGTTCAGGGTTCATCAGGGTTTAGGATTCAGGGTTTCAGGTTTAGGGTTCAGTTTAAGGTTCAGGTTCATTAGGGTTTCGGACTTAAGGTTCAGGGTTTAGGGTTTAGGGTTTAGGATTTGGGGTTTAGGGTTTCGGGTTTAGGGTTCAAGTTCAGAGCACCGGCAGGTGCAGGGTCCCTAAATTCTCCTGAGTATTCCCTGCATAGGTCCCTCAGCTCCAAACCCTAATCAAACCCTAAACCCTAAACCCTAAACCCTAAACCCAAAACCCTAAACAGCCCCTTAACGGGACGAGCAAAAAAGCACCCTCACGCTCTCTCCTTAGGCTTGCTGTTGGTTAGTAGGGAATGGGGAAATAAGGTGCTATATATCAACCATATACCCTTTAAAGGAGTACGTATGGTACCTTATTCCCCCATTCCTGACTAACCAACAGTAACCTTAAGGTTCTAACCCCAAACCCTAAACCCTAAACCCTAAGCCTCCGGTGGGG